TCAAACTTCCTCTCCATTCAAAGAGTGTTAAAAACAACCCTAAAGAGAAGACTAAAATCTCTCTTCAGCTATTTAGGGAGTTCTGCAAATATTAAAACGGATGATAATTTGTTGACGCGAGCCCCAAGCTACACAGCTGATGCATGAGAATTTGCCATTAAGGTTCCCTCAATTTTTGTCGGGTAACTAAATTTGTATGTGGCATTATTGTGGGGAAAGGCGACACCTTCTCTGTTCATTAGTTCCGATCGATTTTTTCAGTGGCCTATTTTGGCCTTGTTAATTGTTGACAGCATAGGTCCCTCAAAATACACAATTCCTTTCCAATCCTACCAAACACACGTAAGCACCTTCTTTGGCGCCATAGATGTAGATCACATTATTGGTCACGTACAAATGATATCGTGTGTCATTTCGTTTTTTTTTTTTCGTTTCACCCGCAATGAACTGCTTTAGAAGTGACTCAGTTTTGTTGTGTTTCTATTAAGCTTTTGCTGACGAAACCACGATTGAGTACGTTCTTTTGCGTCAATTCGAATAGTATCCATATATTTGCTTTTCTGCATTCAGATAGCTCGAAATTATTTAGAACTATTTGGCAGTAAATCTTTAATTACTCGGTGATATCATAACTATTCAAGCGTCGGCGTTGCTGAGGTTCATCAACTTCTTCCGTAACTAGTCGGCCACTACAACTTCTATAACGAAAATCATCGAAGCACCTTTAAACGGTTCCTTCTGATAACGTGTCTTGATTATAAACAGTACACACTTTTACGGCCCGGCCAGTATGTTTGCTTTTATCGAAATAAAATTGTGAATTATCGTGTAAATTATCGTGTGGGCGCTTTATTTCAAGGTTGTATAAAAGGCATTGCGCGATATCGACCTTAAATTAAAACTCGACGCCGACCCATACTAGCCGCGTAAAGCTAGAAGTTTAAACTATATGCGATATAGTTTTTGCCACCTGATGGTTTCAACGTCACGCGACGGCAAACACGGCCACCTCTCTCATGATTTATACTACAGAATTCATCTGAAACATTTAACGGTTGGCCCTTGCTTGCTTTTCCGGTGTTTAGTACGAGCCGAATACAAATTGGGTTTCTGCTCTGAATGCATTCTTGCACTGTTTAAAAGACTTTGTTCTCGATCCTTCCACTTAACGTCATTTCGGTATACGTATTCATATTGAATGTTATTATATTGAATTGTTGTTATATTGAATTAAACACAATAGTTAAGTATCGTTTAAGTAGTTCCACGAAACTCAATTACAGAGAGATTATATTTAATTACTCAAACGCTTACCTACTTATCAAGTAGAAAACGCAATTTGTTCGGGGAAACCGAAATATTATAGTAATCATCAATAATTTTATTTTTGTTGCTAAGCTTGTTGGCCTCTTTATATACTATTTACAATTCGATTTTATCTTCAATGACTTTCGTTATCATATCAGTGTAATTTTTAATAATTTCTCTCACTCTCCCGCTTATACTGTTGTCCCTATTTTTGTTCTCTATTTATTACGCTTAAGTTTACTGTTTGAGCCGGGTTCTGAAACGGGTACCAGTTTCTATACCATAAAATTGTCTCCTTCGCACAATTCGCTATCAGTATACAGTCTACACACAACACACGTGGTTTTTTCGTTCGTACACACTCAAGTCCGAACTTACTTAGAGCGTTCAGTTGTACTTTTCATGTTCCTTTCGGCTCAGTGCGCGATATCGAACTGTCTACCCATATAAGTTGCACAGAAAGCGTTGCTCCAACTCCAACATGTCATAGCCTTAACCGGTCGACGTCTTTCGCTTGTGACCCCCTCTACTAACAGCGTTTCGCTTTTGACATTACAGCCCTTAATAGGATCTCTTTATTTGATGCTAATTGACATATATGTGCTGCGGGGAAGTTGATGTGTTACAATAATTCCTTGTATAGTCAAGGAACCATGGCCAGGGCTGATTGCAGCCGAACTTGTCCATATTTTATGTTTTCGTTGGGTAGCCTCTCACATCATACAAGTATTACTATAAGCACTAATGTTATGGTACTAATTGCAGAATGAAAGTAATCTAAGGGACGTTGGCCTGTACTGAATTGACATGAATGAATCATTATTGAGTATAGCTGTTGTTCCATATTTATATGGTTCTTTTATCTATTCGCATGGATTGCGCCAGCCGTTGGACAGTCTAACATAGAAACAACGATAGCACCGACTCATCGTGTTCGTATATAGAGTTCCTCTGTGTTTTCCTTTCAACACTTTCCTTTTGCAATAAGTACGTACTTGGGAATATCGCACGTGTCCCTATTGAACTCAAATGGCGTTAACGAACAACGGAAATTCCATATTGCCTTTGATTAGAATTTACAAAGCAATGAATGTGCTGTGTGTGTATTACGCGATTCGGATTCTCAGTCTTTATGGAATCCATTGCCATTGGAACAGAATGTTTTTCATTTCACAGCGAAAACATATGTTTCTATGAAAATGCTGATGAGATATCGTGTTCACTGTAGCAACATTTCCGGCAAGGCCTAGTGCGCAATCTGCATGTCATCTACGGATCGTGGTGGCATCCTTGCGTCGCGTCGGACACCATTTATGCTACTAGTTACCGTATAATTCTATTACCACTATCTACCCGGGATATCAGCGTTCTCAGCAGATTTCGTATATCCTGTTTTCATCTGACTTCTAATTTTTGTTCTTCTTGTCACTTTCGTATGTACCTGTACGAATATTTACACGCAGATTATTTCAAACGGAATTATAATATTATTGCTTCAAACTGATTATAGCTGTTAGGCGAGACTTTCTGACTAGAAGTTCACAGCTGAGTCTCGTCAAGTCATCACCTTTATCTCTTATTGGCCGTCTCATCACATTTGTTATTGTGAACCCTATAGTAATATACAGCGATAAGATCACTCCTTATTTTTATAGCTCATCATATCTTCATCGAGGTCATCATAGGACTGTTTTCGACATGTACACATATTTTTTTCAGGCGCGTGTAGATGACCGGACAGTCAGTCAACCTAACAAAGGTACGATTACATGGGGCATCTGTGCAGAACTGTTTCATTGTCCGTTTTGCCTGCTTGTCCTCCAATATTCAGAAGTCTACAAAAATAAACCTTTGACACTTTGGGTCGGATTTTTTTGTCGGAATAATGTAACGGAGTATTAGGAACGGGTAGGGAAATCAAGATGATTGAATGATTTACCTTGAGTCACGAATCGGCGGACAGCGCCAACAACCATGCACGGGGTCAGCCATAGCCCTTATATACACGTATACAAGGTTTATTCTGTCCACATAATTGACCCAGTCACGACTGCCAGGGTAAGCGCTTGGAAGCGAAAAGAGCTCATGAAAGGCAACTTGGAGGACTTAATATTCTATTTTGGTCTGTCCACCTATAAACATGTCATTGGTGTTGTTGTTACCATTTGGTTTGAGGGTGACTCTTCCAAGAGCAGATATTAAAGAAGTAACCCTTCGGCAGTTGTATAGCCGGTGCATATGCATGTAATTTTCCATACGCGATAGATTATTCTTAGTTTCATTGATCTCGCCTCCTAGTTGTGCTGCAACAGGTGATTACGCATGACTGGCTGACTGCTTTCACAGTGTTTCGACGGTAGTCATGCCGTGTACCTTAATCGTGATCCTGTTAGGATCCTGTACCGAATTTGTCGGGGACGCCGCCGGCCCGTGACCCTGAGTCGGTTGCGCCGACGGGGAGGGTAACACGACATGCGATGGACTGGGCCTCTGCTCACGCACGTGCTCGGTTGAGGCAGACCTTTCACACCCTGATTCTCTGCTCTGATAGGGCACAAAGATGCGAACCGCCTCGACTGGAAAACGCCCCGTGGGAGTATACGGTGGGGTAGTCGTCTGGGTGCCCGTTGTCGCTCCTCCAGATATTCGACCCTCTAGCGGCGACGAAGCTATCGTTGAAGCTGTCGTTGTGGCGGCAGTGGCCTTTGGAACATCCGCGGATGGCGTTAATTGCACCGTCGTTGTTTCCATGCTGGTGTCAGCGGCTAACGACACATTATCGTAGATAGAGGGTGATCGAGGCTGAAGGGGAACAAAATTTTATTAGGTAACATCGTTCACATTCTTATGTGGGATACATGAGAGTAGCACTCTACACCGTTGAAGAGGATTTTTCACCAACAGAGAGAACTGCTTAAGTTAAAAAGACTATTTAATGGCGATGTTGTTTCTTTTCATCATAAAACACCGAAAAATTTTTATTCAAGATTGACTTCCTAAGTGGTGAAAAGCGAGTGACCTAAGTCTTGACCGCCTATGAAGCAGTGTAAGCTTTCAAATATACTCTTAAAGCGTTTTTTTCAATATTTAATAATCTAAATATTAGTATGTCATGTATATATTCCACTATCAAATTTGTAGAGAAGAAATCATACGCATCGTACAGAGAGACCTACCTTTGGCGGAGCTGCCATTGTTGATGTGCTTTCGAAGTTCAATGTTCGTGTGCTGGACTCATCCTGCGTAACGGTTACTGACGTATCGAGAGCAAGGGAAGAAGTCATTCGCAGTGAGAGGTTTTCCACCACCGACGACGTATCCGAGTGCTCGCTTTCCACAAGGTTCGGAGATTTGCGAAGTTCTTTCGGTGTGAAACGTCCGCCTGCCACAACAAAATCGAGAAAGACAGAAGCGAATTAATGTCGATTAGAGTTATTAATCGTAAACAATGGTTGGCATTTTGGTAGTTTTTGTATATTATATTGTCCACGGGATAATTTCGATACGTATATGCCTCAAGAAATAATTTGCCTGCTAACTTTAGGACTCTAACGCTGTAAATTTTCTAATGTTGTAAGTGTTTTCTACAACGTTTCTTAAACAAAAACAAGTTATATTCAGTTTAACGTATACAATCGTCCTTATAAATCCATCGCCGGTCGTTTTGATTCGTGTTTATTTCATATAACATATAAATAGCTTGCTGCGACGCTTTTAACTGTCCGCTTCATATGAACACCCGAGCAGTTTCCTTTAGTGATGAATGCCTTTTCCATGAGTGCCTTACTTAAACCTTACTTAACGTAAACGATGCACTGAGAACGTGATGAAACGCGTAGTAACCTTTAGGCACCTGGGTGACGCTACAACAATTTTGACTTCAATTCATGACTTTTTTGAATGAATTTTGACTTCAGTGATTCTGCGGTGGAAAAATGCGAATCATTCTATCTGAATTGAATGCGTACACGTCTAACATAATTCAAGTGCTATTTAATTTAAATGCGCACCAGCTTCTGATTTTGTTGATATGGTTTCAATACTTCCGTTGAGGACGCTTTCCGTATCTTCATTGATGTTGAGTGCACGCACCGAGCTACTCTTCCGATGCGAAGAAGTCGATTTTATTCGAGAGGTCTTTTTTGCTCCTCGGGGAGTTCCCAATACGCCTATATTGTCTACAATTCCAAACGGCCGCGTGGGTCGTTCCAACTCTCGGTCTTCGTCTGTGCACCTACGTGTTAGAAGTAGTTAACGATACAAGAAGAAACCAATGTTTAGATATAATTAAAAACTTATATTCGGATAGAATCAAAAAGAGCTTCGCAGTAATACATTCTAGGCGTATTTTACTAAATTGTGTTAAACAATTTTCAAATGTTCATTACCCAAGTTTGCATGACAAAATAGATTGTCAATCTGTCACCACGAAACGGACGGACACTTACGAGGGCAGCGAGAGCTTGGCTGTTTTAAGTTCTTGCATACATTGCTGAAGAGCCTCCATCGCTGCATCATCATTATAACCAAAATCCTGCTCGAGGCGGTATTGCAAAAAATGGACCAGTTGATCCATACCCATTCGCAGTAAATTCCGGCGATGCAACTTCAGCAATGTATACGACATGGCCGTTAGAACTATTTCACCCTCCAGAAGATAGACGTCCCACAAACGCAGGGTCAGCGTAAACGGGACACGATCAAGAAAGCACTAGACAAAGGACGAATTGCAGACAGATCAAAACCGTTATGCTGCGAATGACAACTAACAAATAACTTTCGGCTAAGCATAAGTTGGGGGGATTCATGTATGTTAAATAATTACTTGAGTAATTTTTAGTGCGTTTTCTTCTGGCGCTGGTACATACTAGCGAACATTAGAGGCAACGGACAGCCCGAAGTGAAAGCTTTATTTCGAAAGAACTATATCGAAATCGTACATGCCGCAAAAATGTCGTCTTAAAAATCAGAGGTTTATTAAAAATAATTTCTGGTACCGGTTGTGTTAATGAGTGGTTCCAATACGTACCTGGAAGAACCATTTAAGCGTATACATACTGCTACCGATGTCATGCTTATCAAGGTGTTTTTTAAGCTTTGGCAGCTTCTTTGCGAGTATACGATCATGGTGCGCAGTGAAGCGCGCCAGCTTGGGAAACCCTTGGATAAAAAAGCCGTGCATCGCAAACTTGTCGGCTGCCATGAGCTGAGAAATTGCCCAAAATGCTTCCTCTTCCCCCATGTACATCAGTAATAGGGCTGCAATTTGGCTCATTCCTTGGCAGTATCCAACTTCTTGGTTGTACATAGAGTACGCGGCCAGCACGTGGAACAGCTCCTGTTGCCTAGAAATTTCAAGAAAAAATTGATAGTATTAGCAAACTGCTCCTATTCGTGCTTCGCTAAATTGTTGCTCATCTTGTTGATTTATTTACAAAGGTAACGCAAACACAATCACGACGTGGGTGAGTCCGCACTATAATTATGTCTAAAAGCCGGCTTTTTCCATTTGCCAGGCTGACGTTATGTCCAGTACATAACCACGGCAGGAATCATAGTTTTCTAAATGCAATATTTATGGGTTCACTTACTTGATCGAGTATCGCTGTCGGAACATTTCATGATTGCGGTATGTGCGATTGATGTCAAGATCAATTTGGCGAATGTCGGGACTCTCTTTTCGAGCCAGCTGCTTCATCTCTTGGTACTTCGTTGGTTGTTGGGCGCTTAGTTCGTCCACGTTCAACAATAGCTTCCACGCATCCCCTCGAATCCGATCTGGAATGCCTTTGTACACTCGGCTACGCAACTGTAACCCAAGTATAGATTGTGTTCAATTATTGGCTTAAAGATTACATTTTAAAATTTTACTGATAATCGCTATCATAACAGTAAAGTATTTCGTTTGACTAGTACACATTAAACGGTAACCGATTGTTGTAGGACAGAACGGGCAAAACAGACTGAGCGTGACTGCGTTTGTTTTTATTTAAACGGGACGTTTTTTTGTGTGCCATCCTGTCCAAACGTAAGCAGCTACGAAACGTTTATTATTTATAATCATTCGAAAGCTGAACTCGCTATCTTGCCATAGAGGTCAGCAGATGTAAAACGCATTTTTATTATCGCACATTGTTAAGCATCAAGGTAAGTAACATAAGTTAATAATAAATAAGCTAATTTGCTGTCTTACGACTTGCGGATTTGCCCATAATCTCTATGGGCCTATTTCAAATATAGATGGTAGGTGTCCATGCAATGATTGTGATACACACACAACTTTATCGTAGGCCTGGTAAAAGTGTGCTTGGAGACAAAATCGATGAATCTTTATACTGTCATACAAAAAGGATGACAGCTTGTTGAGAGAGCTTGGCAACAAGAACACTACGACTAATGGAAACAACGCGTCAACGTTTTTTTTTTTGATGGTATACGATGTATCAACAAACATGCGTTGCGTCTGATGGTAAGCAGCGCCTTTTATTGGCAATTATTCTACAGTACAGCCGTTGCTAGGGGGCGTAAACACTACTATTACTGACCGGTCGCCAGTTGGTCAAGAATGGTGGCAGACGCATGCGTTCTCTCGATTATGGTATCTCGATACGACTTTAGATTAATTAGAATGATTTCAACCAATTGGTAATTTGGAAGACGTCGCTGGATAAAGGGTCTGTTTAAAGTGTGATTATTTCTTCGATAAAGTTACAATAACTGCCGCCATTGCTGCTATACTAGTGCCTTTAACCTGGTGGCGACAGATAATACTTGAAGCAAGCTAATTTCATGCAAAATGGCGGTATTAGTGAGCTTCTAATTGGCTTTAGCTGTCTATGGTGGGCCAATCACACAGGAAGTCTATGTCATTTTATACACACAATATCGATGTAAGTAGAGGGTGTGCTATTTAAGCACTTTTTCATAGCCTGAATTCAATTACACACACGATTCTTGAAATTATTATTACAATTACACACACGTTTTTTGAATAGGTCCGTGAACTTAAGCTTAACGGTTTAATGCTATGATGCTATTCGTACACGCCTCCATAACTTATGATTTGCTTTCTATGTTGTTGATACCCTGAAGGGTTATTTTGATGAAAAGTAAACTGTAAAAAGCACCATAAAATCGTCTCAATTCAAGGTAACCATTTAAGTACCTTCGTTGACGCGTATCAAAGGGCCGGCTCATGAAGGATAGTCGTAGTTCATCTGCTTAAATGCGATTGAAAATGGCTGCAACGGCGTTCGATTTTACAAAATCCATTAAAAATACAACTACATGCTAAATAATCGACATGTCTAACAAATGCTGTTAATAGTTTGATCTTATTTTTCTTCTTTAAAGCATGCTGAGAAAAAGATCAGGCTCTTTTGCAGACTAAAAGTCCATAAAGATACTACATCACTGCTGTATTTCGTAAGGGCTCACACGCCTTATAGTTGACCATATGATAGCTTGTACATAGATAATCGTTCGAAAATTTTTTTATTTTACTGACAGTGTCCATAATCGTAGCAACAAACCATATGATTCATCCGCTTATCTGACAACAAATAATCTGACGAATCCAACATCAGTGATGGAAATAATGGCAAAAAAAATCTTCGTTCTATAGGCATGCATAATCCCCATTAAATATCAAGAAGACCCAGCATAGTATTGCTTCTGTTTATAAATTAGTACTAGTAGAAAAATAATAGCCATGTACAAACCTATCTCGGTATTCATCTCAATGCGTGCACCAAGACTTACCTTCCCATACTTCTTTGGCTATTTGCAGCAACAGGAAACGGGATGTTAAATCCGGTATGCATGAGTAAATACGGAATTACGCAGATAAAGGTAAGTGCACATAGTTGGTGGTGTGTGTGTGTGTGTGTGTGTGTGTGTGTGTGTGTGTGTGTGTGTGTGTGTGTGTGTGTGTGTGTGTGTGGTGTGTGTGTGTGTGTGTGTGTGAGAGTGTGTGTGTGTGTGCGTGAGAGTGTGTGTGTGTATGCGTGTCCGAGCGTGTGTGCGTGTGTGTGTGTGTGTGTGTGTGTGTGTGTGTGTGTGTGTGTGTGTGTGTGTGTGTGTGTGCTGTGTGTGTGTGTGTGTGTGTGTGTGTGTGTGTGTGTGTGTGTGTGTGTGTGTGTGTGTGTGTGTGTGTGTGTGTGTGTGCGTGTGTGTGTGTGCGTGCGTGTGTGTCGTGCGTGTGTGTGTGTGCGTGTGTGTGTGTGTGTGTGCGTGTGCGTGTGTGTGTGCGTGTGTGTGTGTGTGTGTGCGTGTGTGTGTGTGTGTGTGTGTGTGTGTGTGTGTGTGTGTGTGTGTGTGTGTGTGTGTGCGTGTGTGTGTGTATGTGTGTATATGTGTGTGTGTATGTATGGGTGGGTATGTGGGTGTGAGGTTTTGCGTGTGTGTATATGGGTGTGCACATGGATGTGTGTGTACGGGGTGCGCGTGTTTTCCATTGTGCAAAGTGAAGGAAACGAATCCACCATCGATGATGATGATGATGATGATGATGATGTAGATGGTGGTTGGTCCATGTAGCAGCGTGAAAAAATGCGATACCATTCACCTATCTCAATGTCGATTCGGATATCTTCGTATATAGCTATTTTTTTTTACATTGTCCATATTTTTATCAACGCTTTCTTGGATGGCTGAATAGGATGGAGATTCATCCAATAAACGAGCAATAGTGACGAAAGGCAAGGCGGTCAGTCATTCTCTAAGCCATCGACTAAAGAAGGATGATGAGATGAAGTGTTAAAACGAGCTGAGCTGAACCGCTCCTGAGGCTGACGCCAATGTAACCGCGATGCTCTAAACCAGCAAAGCTCTTCTGATTGTGCAAATTGCCAGCAAGCGGTCCCGCAGACTAGACAGCCAACACTTCAGTTCATTAGTCAGACAGCCTTTGACAGAGCTCAGCGATATCGAATGCAATATACGTAGTAGCGTAGCGGCTATATAGATTATGCATATTTGTTACTACACCGAGCGTCATATATCTCCAGGACAGTAGATTCAACTATATGAAACCTAGGCAGCTTGAGGTTCAGTTTACGAAGCTAATAGCTAAGAGCCACTAGACAATGGACAAGAGATATTTTCTTGAGACGAGATCTATGCGCCGAACAACAAACGTCCGGCAAAAATGTGTCTGCAAGATCATGTGCAGAATTGAATCGTTGCCCCTTCGGTCACCACCATGAACAATAAATTCGCCATGCGATCCGTACGAAAAGGCTGGGTCAACAGTAGAAGTCTCATCAAAAAGCCATCACCACCCACATCTGGAGCCGGTCAGTTCAAAGGTATACCTCGACACCGACACGGCTTCACCAGCAGGAACAACTGGTTGGAAGCTGGCGTGAGCCTATAGCGTAGCTGTGAGCTTCGTGAGATGAGCACGACCACTTCCTAACTCATCGTCGTAGTTTTTCCTTCCATATTGTCGATACAACAACAACGGGCCGCTTACCTTTCAGTAGCAAGTATCTAATAATACTACTACCGGATGGCGGTAAAGAAAGCCAAATGGCTGTTTCCTTTACCTTGAGTTGTGGTGGAATCAAACATTGTCATAACACACGCTGACTACAATATCAACAGCAACAAAAACAACAGCAACATCGACAGCAACAAAAACAGTAACAACAACCATTCACGATGTGAAAAAAATTGAGGACTGCTGCATCAGACGATGAGATATAAAAGACATTTTTAGTTAGGACGGCAACAATGGAAGACAGATTTTCGCTAAGTTTGGGTATTACTGTTTGGATACCTTTGTTTAAGTGGACTATCCGAAATCGCTTCTCCATCAAAGTCATGGTAAAATGGGCGCTTACATCATATCGCAATAATAAGAAACATTTAATTTAGTATAGCCGCAACGTAACATATGCCATCTGAAAATACATTACTTTTTCCAATCGTATATTACATCATGCGTTCGAAATATAGGATGACCATTATACTAACTCACAAAACACGTATTGCAAATGGCCGTGGTCAGTCTTATCCAGAACAAACTTAGGTTAGTATTGCTTGTGCAGGTCTTACAATTTAACGTATGCTAATGGGATCAATCGGACATTACTTTTCAACACCTTAAGACGCATACGTACAAGCTCATGTTTACTGGCGTTCGTCATGTACTTGGACCATGATTTGGTCATCTTGAGCCACTTATCGCCTCGTTCTACTTCCTTTGCCAGCTGCTTCTTTTCCAGCTCTGAAAACCGCTCTGGTAGGGCCTTCTCGCTGAAAACAGACAACATCGGTTTCAAAGTATTAGTACCGACTATGTTACGACAAAAATTAGAAATAATTGTGTTAGAAACTGCTGTGTAATTGTGATTCCGTTCAAACGATTTAACAGATAAAATCAACAAGGACACTTCTAGGTAGATGCATAAATAAATTTAACGCAGCTGCGCCATCCTATTTTACATAATTAACTTACATATTATATTAATTAATATATATTGATTTACATATTGATATAACCAGAAATCGTACCGACTAAATTTCGTGTTAGTTAACACGAAATCACAATACTAACAGAATTATTGAAAACCGCTCAACTTTAATAGTTAGTTTTTCGAAGTGTTAGTTTGTACCAAGTACTATAAAAAAATACTACAAAAAACAATTTATAATAGTTCTGAATGGAAAAAGTACTCTACATCGTGTTTCATTGTAACTCCCTCTAGAGACTTGAAACTAGTTTCAATAATAGGTCAATATAATCGGAGGGCCTCCACCTCACTCATAAAAAATGATGAATCACTTGAGTAACTCTGTCTCTCCTGTTTAGTGTCCACGTAATGCTCGAGGTCACTGAGCTTCGCTGGACATTTATTTGACTGCAGACATGGCTACTCTAACAGATAGCTATACGTGAACTGTACCAGAATGAAATGGTTGATTAAGAATGTCACCAACAATAACTTTATTTATCGGTACCATCTCACTAGTAACTCAAAATGCTGCCTGCTAAGTATCGACTAAAGAGCTTCCAAATGACGGCAACGAAAGTTCCCAGATTTTTCAATTCACAGGTAGTTTTCAGCGAACGAAACTGCTCTTACCCACCCAGAGCTGGTCACTACTATTTAGTTTATATATGTACATAATTAAAAAATTTCCTTACATACTTTAATCGCATTTCATCTTGCCACATGAAGGCTTAACGCTGCTCTGTGCGTTGATAAGGATCACAATCGAGTGCTACAGAGAACGCTTGAACGAACTGGGCCAATTGAAAATCCCGTGGCTTACGCTACATTTCGTTGCATGTATCGTCCAACGCTTCAAATAAGCAGACGTCTAAAATTATCCGACTAACACGCAGATGAAGACTGCTAACTCTCCACCCTATATTCAAAGCTATGGATAGAGCCGTATCGACTTTAGATTGGCTTCAGCAATGATGTGCCTTGTTGTAACAACTGCTCTGCCTCGTATAGTTTAACGTCGGGTCGCTCAGTTTGTCAAGGATTTGAACCGGCTGACGGTGATTCTACGAAACGCGATTCGCATTGGGCATCACTGCAAAATTGGACAGATACACTCAAGGCACATGCGAATCGACACTCTAAATCGAATATAACGCTCTAATTTTGCCTTGTTGTTTCGTGATTTTGCTCATTGTAGACGCTACTACTTTTGCGAAGCGGGTCCAAAATTCATTGACTTCATTCACGATCGCTCAGCTGAAATCTAAACACTGCAAACAACGAACAGCCCAAGCCCAAAAGTTCATCTGATCTTTTCAAAGGTAATAACGCCAAACGGCCATCTTTGTTAGCACATATTGATAGCTGGGGCAAGCAACTAAATGGTGTCAACTGGACGCGCTTTTAAGACGGCGCATGGGCGGTATACTACGAACATGGTACTATCACGGAGTCACTGCGGAAACCACTTATGACCATGCTATTACATGAGTATCCAGTCAGTTAATTATTGGTGGATGTGACAGGGGCAGCTGCAGTAGATGCGAAAGCATTTCCGGTCTGACAGCGTGACCAAAGGCACCGACTGCCGGCAGGTAGACAAAACCGTTTACAAGCTACAGAATTCGACGAGCTAGCGTGCACTGCTTTAACATAACGGCAGTAACAACAATAGTAATTATGAATATCAACGATCAAATGGGGCTTGATGAAAGAAAAACTGTTGCATTCAAGAAGGTTTGTCGTGGACGATAAACGTGAGGACTCGTAATTGTACCGATGTTGCTTATCTTAAGATCAGTATTACGCCGTACATCGGCGCAAACAGCATACAATTTTTATACACTGCTAGCACCTTAAAAACACTAAAAAACTACGTTGTCGAACGAAAGAAACGTGATAATACGACTGTACAAAATTGTATTTTCAGTCTATTCACGAATGTCCTCACGAAAAGAACGTAAAGGAGAAAAGACGTCATAATTTTACGTACTTTTCATTTGAGCTAGGTGGCATTTTCTGCCACAATTTCTTTTCTTTACGTAGGGCCCTCCATCGCGAAAAAAACTATTACCTTCGAAACAGTTCGAATAGAGTCTTAAGCCTAAAATTTAACGCATCGTTAAAATATATAAACGCAACAACTGCCAAGCGTAAAGTTCATTTACTAGACGTAGCTTTATTCTGAGCTATATCTAGTAAATACTACAATGAATCGAGCATTAGAACTTCATATACCTTCATCAGGCTCATTTCAGCACGAACTTGTGCCGAGTGCGAACAATATTGACTTCAAGATCTGTGCCAATGTAAGAGTATGGGTTCCCAGCTGTACTGTGTATAGGTAAAAATTTGAGATTATCCACAGATGGTAATGAGGTTTTAATAGACCAATTCCTTTTCGGATTCGATCTTGCCGGTGGCTTCTGTAATATCAGTACCGGCGAAAGATGCCTGATGAGGATTCCGCTAGTTTTGAGGTCTATCATCTCGGCTCGGAAAAGGTTTTGACGGGTTTGAACGGCGCTATTCCAACCCATTTCCATTGTTGAATTACTGTCTCCAAAGTGCCTTTAAAGTAAAAAATAATAAGTTCATGTATAAAATCTCATAATCTTAGCACTACTAATTTTTGCTGTGCGTGTTTCCCTGTATGTAGTTCTTGTTGTCGTCTTCCATCTACGTTTTACGCAAAAGTTTTTTTTTACCAAAAAAATCCACGAGTAAATGTATTACTATCACTTTAAAGTAACAAGTGTATTTATCAATGATCGCTAGCCGTCTCGTTCCCATTATGCTAAATCAACGTGTTACCACACCCGGTCTACTACTTACTGATCAGCCGCTTCTTTTTATTAGCATAAATTTATTATTATTCAGCAGTCGATATATACGAGTACGGTCCCGACAACGAAACTGAAGTTTCTCAACTTCAGTTTCGTTGTCAGGACCGTTATAATTGCTTGATCGCCGTAAGCGTCATCTGTTTATGGATTTCTGCAGGGTGAAAATAGCGTGTCATCCAATCATTTGGGGACTGAGTAGACCTTTGCCACTCAAATGGCTCTGGTTCACATCCTAGCAATATGAATAAGAGCGGCACAAAGTGATGAATAGTCGATAATAATAATGAAATGCCTTGACAATTTTCTCCGTTTATAACAAAGCTGTGGATACTTTCATTGACGTCCACCCTCAAAGGCGCTCCTGTACAATTAAGCAGCGAATACATCACGTGTATTAAATCAGTTAGATACTTTCATTGCTCCACAAGAAGAGATTCACTATCTGTTCCTTGTCGTAAACACTTTACGCCTTCAACTCTCATACAAATCTTTTGATTTGTTTCCAGTGCGCGGTCTGCTTCGACTGAGTAATTATCGATAAAGAGTGACAAAAGAGCACCCCCAACGTGTCATCGATTACTTTTGGCGTCATCTCGGTCTTCTTCCGTTTAACTTGGGTCTTTGCTACGACTAGTAGTACGTACGTGGTGTCGTGCGACAGCACGTTTTCTACTCGAAGGAACTGGTTAGACCTTTGAATATTTAGCGCTGAGTGCTGCTTAAATTACACTGTTAATGAGTCATACGAATGTCGGCTTGACTCACTGATTGGCTGGCTAGCTGGCTGGGTGCGACGGTATGAGAACGGAGGGAAATAAGCGAAACCAAAAGCATAAGTGCCTAAAATGAACTTACTAAGGCGGCAATAATTCACATGCAAGGCCGAAAGTCGTGAGAGTCGTCGGCGTGGCCTTCACACTAATTTTAAATGGCTGAAACCACTTGATTTTCAATAATTTCGCACTATCATGTTTAAGCGTTCATTCGTTCAATGATTGAATATGTCCGAGCTCCGCTGTCAGGAAACGATGAAAATCATCGCGTTTGAGTACAGTGAACGGTAGATAACTTATCTGTGTATAACTGACTTATGCCATATGATTCATAATCTGGGCTAGAAATAGTAAATCATGAAGCAATATAAACTAGCACAACAAGAGAGTCGCCAATGTATTGCTTTTAAAACGTGAAAAAAAGTGCATACGATATGGTTACCCTGGATTCTAAAACGGGAAACAACTCATTCTGCTTTGGTTAATACTTCTTATTGATGAATTCAAAAAAAAGCTGTATTCAAACGCAAAATTATATTAATTTTATAATATTATGAGCAGCGAACGCATCCTGCGAGAATGCCTTGTTCGAATATTATCTTCTTTATGGAACTTTAATGATATTACATTAATCCTTTTTTTTTCGACAATTTCGACAGGTATCTTCATGCAGTATTTTTGTCATATGTTATGGAGAGATTGTTTCAGATTCTGTATGTATGTAAAATTAAAGGATCCTTTTACGCGCATAAATCGAACAGACGTTAGCGATAAGTTACGTATAGCAGCTAACCGCGTTTGTGTGCTTTGATAACAGAACATGGCGAACCCTACCCTCATTTGACCTGCATATGAAACGTACTACATGTAGTTTGTGTTGGTAGAATCGGTTATAAAAAACTAGTTGTTCTAATTGTAGTTAACTGTTTTCAACTAACTGCAACGAACACGCATCAATATGATATATACCTGACCGTTCACAGAGCAAAAAACGCCAGTCGGGGGTACTCTCGCAATTTAACATCGGTAATGCGTGTACCAACACTTAGAATAGCTATCAAGAAGAAGCTCTTGAGATTAGGCATATAAGTATAAACAGCAATAAAAAAAAAAGCGCTGGAGACAGCGGAATACATACGAAATAGGGGAAGTTAGCGTTTGTAGGATTCTCGTGTTTATAGTAA